CATTCCAGGTGATTTTAAGAATCCTCACAGATGTTGACCTCAGTCTGAAAGATAAGAGCAGCTCCACCTGTGTTTGGGAAAGAGATGTCTTTTCTCCCCTACAGTGGGAACTTTGAGTCGTCCTCCTTCTGAGAGGCTGTTAAACACACGAAGCTGCTTCATTGAAGGGATATCAGGACCTGTTCTCAGCAGCCTGATCGACAAACTGCTGGAGAAAAAGGTGATAAGTGATGCAGAGAGGGAGGCAGCGGATGCGAAGCAAGACAAAAGGGAAAAGGCTCGTTTTGTTATTGACACTGTGAGGAGTGAGTTCACTTTCTCCATGAGAATGATCACATCCTCTGTCAGCACCTCAGGTTAAACTGAATGGATATTTTATGGATCATAATGTGTTTCTTTAATGACGCCAAAGTCATTTTTATCTTTCTTTGACAACTGAAGTGAGTGAAGAAAGACATTTTTTTTAAAATTTTATTCTGAAACCATATAATTTAAACTTTTCATCAAATATTGCAGCTGCATTTATTTTTATTCTGCACTTTTGCACTTTGTCACAGACGTTAGAGTTCTTCTGTTCAGTTGTTGTGACTGTGTGAACCAAATCTGACAGGTGAAGATAATTCTTTAAAAAAAAAAGTTGCATTAAAATCAATTTTGATTTGTTTCAAAGAAGTTCTATAAAATTAAAAATGTTTATAAATTGTTTTTACTGCAGATCTCACATGTTATTTATGGCAGGAAGCACAAATTTCTCTGTATGTTTCTGATTTAAAAATCCACAAACGCACTTTTTGTAAAGACAGCTGAATGATGACAGTGATTTCAACATCCTAGTCTGAGTTTAAATAAAGGGAAACAAACATTAAAGTGTCTTTAATGTGTGTTTGAATCTGTTTCAACAAATCTGACAGAAACTAAACAGCTAGACACATTTACCTGTAAATTCCTGGTTTGTTTTGAAATTCTGCAATAATGTGAGTTAGCTTTTAGTCTGCTCTTTAGGGTGTTTTTCAGCATTATTTATTCTCACTCTTATTTTTAGATTTTCAGTTTCTAGTTTGCTTTATTAACTATAATAACTTGTCCCCATGGTTATTTAACTTGTTTAAAGTAAAGTGAAACAAATTTTAGCTTCAAGA